TGCCCACCCTTTGTATCGACTATAAAATTAACGAGGTCGTGTATTAGGTGTAATTGGGTCGGTCTCGGATTAGGTGAAACCGGGTCATGCTCGGGTTTACAAACGAAAATGTTATTGATACAATGTGGTCAATCAATTGATTTACATGAAGATAATTGGCTACCAACAATATACCTCATCGACATCCTAGAAAACCATATTGCACCATTAGACTAAAATTCTATGATTTGATTGACAATTATGGTAACAGTCGTTGGAACCAAACTGCATACATCACAACATACACTACAAAAAAAAAAAAAAAAGTTGGATTGTACCATTTATTTTATTAGTTTACATCATTTTTTCATTGATACAATTGAAATTATATCATTTCTATGAGCTTTATATGACTGTTGTTGATTTAGCATTACACCACCGTATTGTACTGTATAGATGTGTTCCTCTTTCTCTCCTATTGATTATAGCTTCCCTTGATTCTTAGATTTAATATAACTAGTCAGTTTTTATTTATTTGCATTCTCTAATGTAAAAATTATGTTAACGATAATCTGGTTTAGACTTGTATGTCCAAGTACTCGTAATAATCAAATGATTTCAATTACTATTGTCATTAACCTAATTTTAAAACTATTAAAATTGAGATTTCGTAGTGTATAGATGGTGGAAGCCTCTAAGTGAAGTAGAGATTTTTGAGTGAGAATCGCATAGGGAACCAGACTGAGTAGACAAACAAACTCTCTGATTTTATCTCTTTCTAGCTAGCATATTTTTTCTCTTACAAAAACAAACATGTCGTGGTTCTATCGTTTAGCAAGCTTCCCAGAAATTCGTCACTCCCCACGTGAAAGGAGCGATTGAAGACGTGAAGAATAATCTGGAGGAGGTGACTCTGATTGTGGGAGACGGCAGGACAACAATCTACAAGAAGTTCAAACGATCCCGCGGTGGAACAGCTGCCGAGACTCAAACTCAGGAGCCAATGGTGGATGAAACTGGTGCCGCAAAAAAAATAAGTTTGTTTTCTCGTAACTCTCAATCGGTACTATCTACTTAATTTGTTTCCTGTTGTTGTTTAAGTGTGTGTGTAATAATAAAAAAGCTTGTTGGATGCAACATGCTTGATTACGATATTGTAGCTCTAATTAGAGGTAGAAAGTATATCTTAAGCCTAATGTAATGTCTATGAGAAAATTAAAATCAATATCATTTCTAATGTAGCCACTTTTTGTGTTCTTTCTATAGATTCAGATAATCCTTGTGATGCATTTTTGAATCTAAGTGATTTGAGTGAACCATCTGTGCCATTTTACACACAAGATCTTCTTTAGGAACATGTATTTCTTTACTTTAGGAAACCTTCTTGATGGAATGAATATCTGAAACCTCTTTATGTAAGATTATGATCACGAAAATATTATATTTTCTAAGAAATAGGTGATTGTATCAAATGGCATGTGATTGTTTCATATGAGATGTGATTTTCTGCACATTTGGTGTACATTTGTTTAAGTCGAAGCGAGTAACTTAGT